GTTTTCTCTTTGTTTTTCATTCCCCAACTCTTCTAATAAGTTTAATGAAGCTGAAACTGGCACCCACTTAATTTTTTATATTAAATATTAAAGTTTAATGTTTTGAAAAATTAAGTGAATGCTCCGTTTTCAAGTTTCAGTTTCATATTTAAAAAATTTAATTTCCAAAATTACATGCGGGTTCTGATATCTGTAGCACTTTCAGCTTCTTCTAAGTTTAAGCAAAATTTTTGTTTTATAGCATATTTTCAAAAATAGACAGAATGCTATAATTATTTAATTGAAAAAAATAATAAATAAGTTTCTAAAATTATCTATATCATTTAGACTTTAAATAATTAAGAGCTGAAGTCGTCAAGTGTGATTATAGAATCAGGTGATCACAAGACGCCATTTTTCAGCTTCTCAAGGAAGAAACACTTAAATATTGATTTTAATAGAGTTTTTACTAAAAGTGAAAACAAAAAATCCTCAATTCATACAAAGTTTAAATCCTTTTGGTGAAAATGGCTATGTAAAGGTGGAGGACATGAACAATAAATTGATGATGGTTTGAAGAGGAGAAAACTTTTTTCTCACATTATTGCAGAGTAAAATTGAGGGGGCTAAAATTTGTATGAAAAGGAAAAATTGAAGTTTTTGTTTGAATCAGGAGATGACTCGAATATTTCCCTGGTCCATTGGGGGTGTGTTACTAGGGCACTAATGCGCAGAAGCTTCGAACTCCGACGCGATTTTACCATTTCCCTTGCACCCCTCTTTGATGAAATAAGGGGTGGCTATCCTGTATTTCTCTCAGTTACATTTTGTGCTGTAACCCTCGCTTCAGTGTCTGGTCAGTCACTGGGGACGACACGACTTTATTCTCAATTTATCGCTTCAATCTTTAATATTTCAAAATTTCTCTTCCTTTCTACTTTGCATTTAACATGAAGAAAGAAGAATGCAATTTGTTTTTGTAAACTGTGACAATTACCAGTGTTTCGTTTGTCAAGTATAATAATAAAAAGGTGCTAAAATGGTTCAATTGAAGCTGCCGATACACTTGAAAATTGACGATAAATTACTTACATACGTGACATTTACTGGCAGACTGCCAGTTTGTTGCACGGGCGACTTGGATTTACCACCGTCGACAATACTTAACCTACCGAATCGAGATTAATAATTAGCTATTGTTTATTTTAAATTTCTTTATTCGTTTAGTCAACATTTATTTACTTTTCTTTTTAATCTTAATTGTGAATCGTTAAAACAGTGATTTCTCGGAAATGTAAAACATCAATATTTTTCACTTCTTTCTAATTGAAAAAATATAGCAGTATAAATAATAAATAAATTTAATGATAGGATAGTAATTAATTTAAATTATTTTTCAACTTGTGATATTGTCAAGATATGTGTACGGTGGCTGCTGAAATTTTTGCCAAATAGCATTAAACTCTATTCAAGGTAACAAATCATCATAATTATATATCATTCATATGTAATAATAATGTAAATTGCTAATCGCTAGGTATTTTATAAAAAGTTTCTAGCCCAATTATTAAAAGCTTTAAAACTAACTGTTAGCTTTGTTATTTGTTTTATAATAATATAGTTTTGCATTAAAGTTTCAGTTTAGTCTATAGATAATTGTAAAGTTACTTTAAAAAATAGAGAATATTAAAAATAAACTCTGTCTTAAAATAATTAAAAGTAATTTAATTTAGTATTTATCTACTCATTTTAATGTAACATTATATTCAAAAATAGCAAGAACATGTCTATATTACTGATAATTATTATCCATATACATTTCTTATAGTTTTTAATTTAGAATGCGTTCCTAATACAGTAAAATAAAATAAATTTAGAAATAGAAAATTGTATTGTAATATTCTCTGAAATAAATGTCAAGTAAGAATTTAATGGCAATTTTAGAATGTTTTTTCTGTGCTTGTATAGCATTATTTACAAAACATTTTGACCCAATCAAGTATAAAACTGATTAGAGTTTATAGCATTCCTCAGAGGAGTAAAATTGGCATTTACTTTAAAGAAACAGGGAAAAGAAAGTGAGGTGTGTCTTTTGTTTCACACAGAGACTGATACAGTTCTATTCCTCTGGATTTCTGAGAGGGAATATTGAATCTTCACCGCCCTCAGGGAGTAAGTTACTCGGTCCTTTGTAACCAATTTAAACCGCAACCATTCTTTATTGGAGGAAATAGCCAGCAACAGAGTTGCTTATTATGAATACCTTCTTTTTTTATACATACATATATTACAACTTCTGTATTATTATCCTGTTAAATTGAGAAAAGGGGATGAAAGTGCCATTAAAATCTCGAGTTGGAGAATTGCTCTTTTTACCCTATAATATAATACGTAAGTCTTAGGCTCATACAAGAGCTTAAAAAAGCTGACAATGTCCCTTTGTCATTGCACTCTACAAAATCAAGCACCTTAACAAAAGTATACCTTTTAAACCATATATAAAAATATCTTTAATACTTGTATCAATTCTGAATTAAAACATTTTTAAGCTTTTCTATAAACTATTTTCTTATTCTGATTCTGAGAGAAAGTCTCTTCTGTGCGTTATTTTTTTAAAACGAAATTTCTTCTTGAGAAAAATACTTTAATTTTAAAGAAAATAATCGATACGATGCGAATAATTTTGAATTAATATTGTTCCTTTAGTATTATATATGAGGGGTGGACGGGTGGACAACATTTTTACATATAATTTAGGGATTAGTGCTTTAAAGTCGGTATTACAAATGGAACTTTAAAAACATTAGTCTTGTAATTTATTACCAAATGATGAGGAAATTCTAAATTGAACATTTAACATTTAATTTATCTATATTGAACGGATTAACAAATTATATAAGATGGATGAAAGAAATGACGCGGCAATATAATCAATTACCTTGAGAACAAAGTGAATCCAATTTTCCTAATCTTGATGGTAAAATTGCAAATGAGACAAGGGTGTATTTAATTTTTGGCCTGGGTTAGAACAGCATTCGACTTTCACTCCATAGGGGTTTGTTTTTCTTCGATAACATGGGATCCCTCCTTGCGTTGATATAGGACAATCTTCTGGAGCGTGCATAATTGTGCGTCTTCGGGTACCTGTCTAATCAGTGTGCTCAATTACTTGACGTCACCGTTGGCATCGTATGTAGAAAGAGGCTCCCAAAGTGATGTCTATATTTAGACGCCTATATCCATCGATCCACACCCACATTTAGGATCTTTATACTCTACCAATCTGCTGGACCAATCAAAAGGTTCAGCTTCATTGTCAATTGCTTCAAATGAATATTGCATTATATTGCATTATTTTGCATGGGGGAGGAAAGAAATATCTTTTGCAAAATAATCATTTTAAAACCTTTCATCACGTTTTGTCAAAATCATATTATATTTCTTATTTTTCCCAAGGAAGTGAAAAACTTGACACCCTAGAGTTTGGAACTTTGACCATAGGACTTGTTTCACTGGGATTTATATAAAATGAAAATCTGCTAAGTAATTAGTACAAGATAACTTTAGTAGAGATGTTTCTAATTGTCTTTCGCCTCCTCGGAAATTAGTTTAGGAGATGACTTAGTCTTTATTAAGATCTCTTTTCTCTCAGTGTTTGTTACATCTTCTGGGATTGAATTAATGAGAAATGGGGTTACCCCATTAAATGAGAAAAGAAGTAAATTTACGGACAGCGATTCAATTTCTCTTCTTTTAACATCTATATAAGTGTGTCAAGCCTTTGTTTCATCCCTTCATCATTTCTCTTTTTGGACTTTCACTACAATATTTTACAATGACTTGTTTTAAAGTTCAGAATCTTTTTCAAATGTTGAATATTTTTTCAAAGTAATTTTTGAAGAGTTTCATGTTTAATAATCTTTTGCTGAAAATTAATTAGAATTTACTTTCTGAAAGTATTAAGAAAGGGTTTGCTTATCTCGGTGGAAGGAAACTTTTCAACCCTCGGGGCAAAGTTTCTTTTCTCGTGGTCTATCCTCTTGAATTGATTCTTTATCTCCGCACTGAAAGCGAGGTCAACATAATTTTTTGAACTGAGATCCTCTAAGACGATATAAAAGACTAATCGCATAAGTAGAAACTGCTACTGCCAGGCCATGTGTTTTGAGATTGTGTGAAAATTGACCTAAGAATTGGCAAGAAGGGTGATTAGGTGGATGCTGCAGAGGCTGGAGAGTGAGAGATTTTCATTCGTGTTCAAGTTTGACACAGTCAGACAGTGTTGCCAGGCAACTCTCTAAGGGTAAAAGTCCCCAATGGCGTAGATATTTTCACTGAATTCAAAAACCCTACCCTAGCTGCTGTGATGCTTGTATCTCTCCCTCCGACAAGGTCAATGATCGCAAAGAATTAGCCTAATTAGCCGTTTCTTTGCGGCCGCAAAATTCAAAGGTAAATACTCTATACAATATATAATGAGTCCACTTCGAATTCATCATCCGATTCTCTCACTGTAAACCAGGATTTTAACCAACTTTTCACATGTGAACTGAAAGACATTTTAGTAATACAAAATTCTATAAAATAAAAGTGTTTTTTTTATTTTTTTGCTTACAATAAAAACTCTTATCGTCGGGAAAATTAAAAAAGAAAAAGAGTTGGAGGTGTGCTACGGAAGATGGTTTGTTTTATGAGATCTGCTCTGATAAAGTCAATTGGGCGTGAGAGAGACGATTTATTTTTATTAAACTGCAATACTCTCTCGACGCCTGTGGATCGGTACAGTGGGCATCCTGTGGCAACTTCTGCATGGTAAATGTTCCATACCTTCAAAGATCGATATATAGACAGTAGTCAACGCTGTAAGGTTTCCTCACACTACATAATCACGTGCGAAATTCTTAATCTCTCAGCACACACATCTTGGAAAATTTTTACTCGTGCATGCGAGATTTATTCATCGGAATTTATTAGTCAAGATTTATAAATCGATTTACCTTCATTTGTTTCATTTGTTTCAGACTAGCGAGGGAGGTTTTCTACGTAAGAGATCAGCATTAGCCATTGAAATGGCCACTTTATCATTACGAATCTCCATTGTGGAGAAAAATCTCACGAAAATGATGCAGTTTGATCCGAGCACGTCGATTTATGATGCTTGCCGAATTATTCGAGAAAAATTAGTGGAAGCGAGTAATATGGGCGAACGTAGGTTTATTATTATTATTATTATTATTATTATTATTATTATTTGAAAACCAAATAGAAATTAATTTAAAAAATCTTGTTTTCAGCCAAAGAATACGGATTGTTTTTGGGCGATGAAGACGCAAAAAAAGGAGTATGGCTTGAGCCGGGACGAAGTCTCGAGTACTACCTGCTAAGAAACGGCGATCTTCTCGAGTACCGTCGTAAAATGCGAATGCTTCGAGTCAGAATGCTGGATGGAATACTGAAAACAATTCCAGTTGATGACAGTCAGCCCGTGGCAAATTTGATGGTAGTAATTTGCACAAGGATCGGCATCACCAATCACGACGAATATTCGCTCGTTCGCGAACTTCCTGACGAGGAGGCAGAAAATCAAAAACCGAGTAACTTTGGTACACTCACACTGAAGCGCAAGAAAGAGGACAAGAGTGAACGGGACGCGAAAATGGATCAGCTGCGAAAGAAACTCAAGACCGATGATGAAGGTAACTTGATTTATTGTGAGAAAAATATGTTGTTGTATATACATACAACATATTTGTTGCTTTCTAAATTTTAATTGGAATTTATTTTTCTTTTTCTTTTCTAATTCCAGTAAATTGGATTGATCCAAGCAAAACTTTAAGGGAACAGGGTGTCGATGAGACGGAGACGGTCTTATTAAGAAGAAAGTTTTTCTTCTCCGATCAGAATATTGATAGTCGAGATCCTGTACAGCTTTCGCTTCTCTATGTGCAAGCCAGGGATGCAATTCTTGACGGAACTCACCCCATCACTCAAGAAAAAGCTTGTGCCTTTGCTGGAATTCAGTGTCAGGTTCAATTCGGGGATTACAGACCTGAAAAGCATAAGTCTGGATTTTTAGAGTGAGTTTTTCATCACATTTTCTTCAAACTAATCGATACATCGATAGTAATGCCTAATTCTAAACTTGTGTCAATTTTGCTTTTCAGTTTGAAGGAAGTGCTACCGCAATCCTACATAAAAGACAAAGGAATTGAGAAAAAGATTTATGCGGAGCACAAAAAGCACGTAGGTCTCTCGGAATTGGACGCAAAAGTTTTATACACGAAAAATGCACGATCTTTGAGCACGTACGGCGTTACGTTTTTTCTCGTAAAGGAAAAAATGAAGGGGAAAAATAAACTCGCACCCAGATTGCTTGGTGTGACGAAAGATTCTGTTCTACGACTCGACGAGAAAACGAAAGAAATTTTGAAAACATGGCCATTGACGACTGTTCGACGATGGGGCGCATCACCGAATACATTCACACTCGATTTTGGGGACTATTCCGATCAGTATTACAGTGTCCAAACAACCGAAGGTGAACAAATTCAACAGCTCATTGCAGGATATATTGACATTATTTTGCGTAAACAGCAAAATAAGGATCATCTGGGAATTGAGGGCGACGAGGGATCAACGATGGTAGAGGACAGTGTTTCACCTTTAAAGTAAGTTTATATTAATCGAAAAGTATTAAAGTCAAAAAAAATATTTTCATATTTCTTTTATCGATAGAGTGAGGCGATGATATGTTGTATACTGATCAATCTCTGAGAAATTTAATGGTTCTAATTAGTTGACTTTGGCGCAATTAACGTCACACTTCTGTCAATCAGTACACGCGTGTCGCGTGACATTTGTCGAGCTTTTTCCTCGTCAAGAATGTCATGGAGAAGTTTCTTAAAGAACAGGATCGTAAATATTTGTTAGACTCTTTGGCATTTCAAACAAATATTTATAATAAGAAACTATATATTTTTTTAATTAATTGTGGTTGTTAACCATTTTTTTTCGTTTTAAAAGTTAAAATTTAAAGAAATTGACGATTCGAAAATTTTTTTAATTGAAATTTAATTTTACAGAGCGACAATTCTTCAGCATGAAACGAATAATATTGGAAGAGGAAGTGTTGAAGCCGTATCTGTGGCAATTCCTGCCGTGATGAGAGCTGGAGGAGATGGTAAGATAGTCTTCCAATCATTTTTCTATTTCAATAGAAAAGCGAAATTGAAAGTTGCTCTTACTCAAAAGCTTCTCAATTAAAAATATAAAAATCTTCAAGTAGACCACAAACTTAATTATATTAATTTCCTTCTTCCTTTAAAATCTCAAAGCATTATTGGATTTTTAAGTTCATCACATATTTTTTTCTGAACAGATTTGAGTTCCCATTTTCTCTTTTAAGAATTAATAAGAATATTATAAAAGTTTGTTTTTTATGCTGAACAAAGAAACATAATTTATTTGACGTGAGATTTTCAATGATTCACCTATGGTAGTTTAATTTTTATCATGTCTTTCTTTTTAGGACAATTCTTTTATGAGATATTCAAAGTGTCTAGTGTCTTGGAAATCCTGGAAATTGTGGAAATCGTGGAATAGGCTTGAAAGTTTGGTTCTATTCTATTCTTCTATTCTTTATCATTCTTGACACTAATTAATTCATAAAATCATTTTTTAATTATGCAAATTTTAAATTGATGATGCAATTTGATTTGAATAATTCACTTGGAGAAAAGTAATTTACATTTGAAAATTAATCTACATTTCATATTTCATGTTTTTATACTTATTGAAATATTAATTAACGATTATTAATTTTTTTCTAATCAATAATTAATTATTTTAACAAATATCTTTGTAAATTAAATTACTTGAATCATTCCATTACAGTATTATTCATATATATATATAGAAAAAATTAATAATTAATAAAATTAATAATAATTAAAATTTTATTAATAGCTAATAACAATAATAAAGGTTAATATTTTAATTATTTATTGAAAAAATTAAATTCAACTTAAACACTGAAAGATGCGAATAAAATATAAAGATAAGTTTTTGTATATTATCAATAATTATTATGTTTTCTTATAAAATATTTCAATAAATATTGTAAACTTGGATAATGAAGGTAATTTATTTTTTTAGTAAATATGAATGTGAATACTTGTCGAGTTTTAGAAGATTCTTCGCAGGGTTTTTATTAGTTATTTTAAACTCAACAGAATCTTTGTCTGTCTGTCTTTTCCTAACCTAGAAATGTTCTTCTGCCAAATTGACTCCTTTTAGAATCACAAAAGTATTTTGACTGCAGAAAATGGTCTTGAGAATTTAGTAAGAATATAAGCTTACCTGTTGGTCTTCAGACAGAACAGCCTTGATTGCTTTTAATACTCCTTCGATTTCCTTACGCAGAAATGTCACTATCTCCACGTCCTTCTTGGATTTTCAGTCTCATGTCTGCTGAAGTTTCTTAATTAAGTTTATGCACTTTTTTAACAGATGTTCCACCACAATCTTCTTCTACAGGATAAAGCACTTTTAAAAACACTTTTTATCGTCTATTCAAACAATGATAAAAACTAAGATCAACTTTTAATTTCGCTCAATATATATCACAGAGTTTTTCTATTTTTTGGAAGATCCATGCACGATTGAATCCTCGTTGTCTTTGTGCCCTATTATTTTGTACATAGAAGGGAAATTCTTCGAAATCTAAAGATTAAGTTTGGAATATTAAATAAACAATATTTAAATATGAAATACATGTCAAATAAAAAAGGTTCAAGTCAATTATTTTCTCATACAAATTTTTCTCTCTCTATAATACTATTTTTTTGACATGTGTTAATGAATAAATTGTTTCTTTTTAATAATCTGATAGTTTTGGAGAATCGCCCATGAATAAGTATAACGGTTTTTATTGTTTCTTATTTTGTACATACACACGTTACGTTAGCTTTAAAATTAAAAAAAGCTGAGCAAATGCTCGTTTACTTGAAAAAAATATTGAGTCCCTTTAAACATTTTTAGGTTAAGTCGACGCCACTATACTTGTACATTGGAAACAGTAGTTTCTATCGTTTCTATTGTCGACAATGTGTTTTAGTAATGCGTCAACTTAACCTAAAAGTCTCTATTTTGAACTCAAACTAAAAGTAGGTATCATTTACTATCGATTTGTGAGTTAAAAATGTAAAAGAAAAAAGAATGTCGACGAGGAATCGAACGCGACGATCACCTTTTTGTAAATATCGGAAAATCCATAGGATAGACTGCATGATACATTTTAGGGGCACGACTTTATGGAACTGGACATATGGGAAGTGCGCAATATACAACCATAAGTGGACAAGTGAATGTCGCTCATGCTCCCCCAACGGTAAGAAATCGAGAACAAAAAGAATATTTCAAGTCTCTTGTGCTAATGAATGAATTTTTTCATTTCCAAAATAATTTCAAATAATTCGTTTCGTCATTTCTCTGATATTTGACTCAAGAAAATCAGAATTTGATATTTATAAAAATAAAACTAGAGTACAAAAATTCAACTAGGTATATTAATATGATTACTTTTATTTTAGTAAATACTAATGAAAAAATTTTAATTTTTTTAATTTAATTACTGAAAGGAATTTTTATTTTGTAATAGATGGAAGTTAATGAATTTCATTGTAAATGAAAATGTTAAGCGGTTTATAATTGATTTTTTTTAATGAAGAAATTCTTAGTCGGCACGAGACACTTATTCAAGTATATGTAGTTTTAAAAAAGCGCTCAATTGAATAGCAATGTTTAAAAAAGTTTTTGACAATAATGAAAGTAAAGTGGCAGCTGACTAACAAAATTTGCTATTTATTTTCATGCTAGACGCCTTCTATTGCGGACATCGAGTAGGTACACAATAAAAATATATCTTTATTTTGTTTTGTACAATTTATTATTTCATTTTTTCTTAATAAAAAAAACTAAAGTAGTCTTTAAAAACACTCCTGAATAATTAATAATAAACTAAAATAAAAAAATAAACTATACTTTTATTTATTTTAGTATTTTAAATATCTTATTATTAGTCATTAAATGTATAATTATTTATTTGCCTATTAAAAATTCTAAAATTATTCATTCAAAAAAAATGCCTGAAAATTAATTTTTTCCAAGTAATTTATAATGAATTTTCCAATTTAAAAAATATCAGTTTTGTTCTTTTTTGATGGTGGAAAATCTTTCGTAATAAAAGTCGAATATCAAAGAAATTCCCTATTTTTTTTTTTGAATATTTTCAGAGAGTTAGCATAATATTTGTTGTGTACCAATATTTTAAATTTACAATTGTCATTATCAAAACATATATAAATTTTGGTCAGTTTTGCAGTATTTCGTAGTGCACGGCTTCCATTTTGTTTGTCACTCAATTATTGCCAAGTTATATAATTTTACGTTTGTAAATAAATAAAAATCTCTAATAAATATTTGATTTGGAAACAAAAACAGATGCAGCAAACAAAGGTGACAACTGTTCTTTCGGAACCGCAACGTGCCTTACTCTCGACCATAACTGCGGGTCATGAAATCATCGAAATTGCTGAAACTGAATTAATCACGAGAGCCGAACTTCCTGAATTGGGAACGGACGTTGCTTCTCTCAAGTGGATTGAACGCACAATTGACACCCATAAACAAAATGTGGGCTCACAAATTGCAGCGATGAACGCCGCTACCGCGCAGGTTGTCACGTTGACTTCCGGCCCTGCCGATCACGTCGACCACACGGCCGTTGGTGCTGCAATCTCGACAATCACAACAAACTTACCGGAAATGACGAAAGGCGTGAGAATGATTGCTGCCTTAATGGAGGATGAGCCATCGGGTGATAGACTTTTAGATGCTGCCAGAAAACTTTGCTCGGCCTTTTCCGACCTTCTAAAAGCAACTGAACCGGAAACTAAAGAGGTGAGTTGGAATGACGTTTCAATTTTTTCAGGTGAATGTAATTTTATCGTGAATTCTCTTTCCTGCAGCCCTTCTATGTAACTTCTACTCTTTATGGACAATACGTAAGCAAGTTGTTTATCCAAGCTCGGTGTTGTACTTTAGAATCAATAGTCCGTTAGATCCTTTTCAACAGTCAGCGGATTTTATGTACATACAAGAATTTCATTCAGTTTGTGAATTAAAATCCGTTCGCTGATTATTTTTTGTTCAAATAGCACACTCGACCAATAAGCTCGCACTGTTCAGTTAGATGCTGCTGATTTCACTAAATGCTTTGGAATTTACATTATTATTTATTTACGGAATCTAAAAGGGATACTTTTAGAAAATTTTAAACTAGAATTCAAAACACCCCTAGAAAAAAATGTTGCTTTTTCCAAAAATCAAATGAATTATTTTCTTTGTTGAAAGATGGAAACCATTTTTTAGCATTTCTGTTTAAATAGAAACATTTGTTGTGTATATATGTGAAGGAATTGAAGAGATTCTTTCTTTTTTCAGCCAAGGCAGAATTTGCTGAATGCCGCCTCGCGGGTTGGAGAAGCGTCACATCAAGTTCTCACGACAATCGGAGAAGAAGATGATTCAAATCGAGAACTCCAGGATATGCTCCTTGCTTTGGCGAAAGCCGTGGCCAATACCACAGCCGCATTAGTACTTAAAGCGAAGAAAATCGCGAAAACATTTGACGAAAATGACGACGCCTCACAAAATCGTGTCATTTCTGCAGCGACGCGTTGCGCACTCGCCACATCGCAATTGGTTGCCTGTGCGAAGGTTGTTGCACCAACATTACATTCGCCGGCCTGTCAAACGCAGCTGATGAACGCTGTTCGTGAAGTGACGAAGGCCGTGGAAAATCTGGTCCAAGTTTGCAACGAAACCAGCGGGGACGAGCAATTGCTAAAGGAACTCAGCACTGCCGCTGCCGAGGTCACCCGAACCCTGAATGACCTTCTTAACCACATCAAGACAGCAACTCGAGGTGAGAGGGCCAAGGAGACGATTCAAGAAGGCGCCGTTGAGCAAATCCTCGTCGCCACCGACAAACTCTTCGCCAGCAGCGGAGACGCAGGAGAAATGGTTCGTCAAGCTCGGGTTGTAGGTCTCGCCACCGCACAGTTGATTCAGAGCATCAAGGGCGAAGCCGAGAAGCAAACAGACACGGAGCAGCAACAAAGGTTGTTGGCTGCTGCAAAAATCCTTGCTGACGCCACCGCAAGAATGGTCGAGGCAGCCCGGCAGTGCGCCAGCAGTCCCCATGACGCAAGGAAACAAGATCAACTTCGTCAAGCCGCGGAAGAACTCCGGGCGGCAACAACCGCTGCAGCAACGCCAGCCCTCCGTCGCAAGTTGATAACTCGCCTGGAGAGCTGCGCGAAGCAAGCCGCTTCCACTGCAACGCAATGCATGGCCGCCTCTTCTGGAGCCTCTCAACACAACACCAACATTGCCAGTCAGGAGGAACTCAATGCCGAGTGCCGACTGATGGCCCAACACATCCCGAACCTCGTGCAAGGCGTCAAGGGAACTCTGGCCCAGCCGGACAATCCGACTGCGCAGCTGAACCTCATCAACTCTTCGGAACAATTCCTCCAACCCGGAACTGCAGTCGTAAAAGCAGCCAGAGCCGTACTTCCAACAGTCACTGATCAATCCTCCGCAATGCAGTTGAACAACAGTTCTCAGCAATTAGGAACATCTCTCGGCGACCTCAGATCCGCGGTGACACGAGCGAGGGAAGCTTGCGGAGGTCTCGAACTTGACGCTGCCGAGGAGCTCATTATCACCCTAAAGGAAGAACTTGTCGAATTCTACAAAGCCGTGGAGACCACCTCGTTGAGACCGCTTCCCGGCGAGACGACCGAGTCCACCGCGCTGCGACTCGGCTCCACCTCGAAACACGTCGGAGTGTCCATGGCCCAACTGCTCTCCGCCGCCAAGCAAGGCAACGAGAACTACACCGGCAGCGCTGCCAGGGAGACTGCGTCCTCTCTCAAGGAGCTCACATCGGCGGTGCGGGGAGTCGCTGCCACCAGCAATCAGCCCGAAACGCAGAAAATGGTTCTCATGACGGCAGACGACGTCGTTGAGAAGTCACTGAAACTCGTCACCGAAGCCAGGCGGGTGCTCAAGAGTCCGGAGAGTCCACACAATGAGGCACATCTGGCCCATGTTGCGAAGGAAGTCTCCTATTCACTGAACAAGTGTGTCTCCTGTCTGCCAGGTCAGCGAGATGTCGAGGTCGCTATCAGACATATCGAAGAGATAAGCCAAGTACTCACCACCCAGGAATTCCGGCAAACCACCAAAAGCTACGGACAATTACAAAACGATCTCAACACCGCTGCTGCCAATCTTAACGACGCCTCATCGAATCTGGTCTCCTCGGTACGATCGCCCATTCAACTGGCCACTTCGTCGCAACATTTCACCAACGCCTTTGAAGACCTACTCAACGTCGGCATGGAGATGGCGACTACAACAACAACGGAAACACGAACCCAGGTGATCATCTCAATGAAGAATGTCAGCATGACCTCCAGCAAGCTGCTCAGCACTGCCAAGTGCGTTGCTGCCGACCCGAACGCTCCAAATGCCAAGAACCAGTTGCAAGCGGCCGCACGGGCAGTCACTGACTCCATAAACTATCTCGTCGATGTGTGCACCTCGGCAGCTCCGGGACAAAATGAGTGCGACAACGCCATCAGGAACATCCAGGCGATGAGGAGTCTGCTGGACAATCCCAGCGAACCGATCTCTGATGCTTCTTACTTCGAGTGTCTGGACACGGTCATGGAGAAGAGCATGAGCCTAGGCGACGGAATGACCGGGGTCGCGAATCACGCCAAGAAGTCCGAATACGATCAGTTCTGCGTTGCCGTGCGTGGAGTGTCGTCGTCCATCTGCGGATTAATCGAAGCCGCTGCCCAAGCTGCCTACCTGGCTGGAGTCAGTGACCCAACGTCTGTCGCCGGGAAACCAGGTCTCGTCGACCAGGCGCAGTTCCTTCGAGCCGCTCAGGCTATTCACACGGGCTGTCAGAATCTCAGCAACCCCACCAGTTCTCAGCAGCAAATCATCTCCGCTGCGACGATGATCGCGAAGCACACCAGCGCTCTCTGCAACGCTTGTCGCCTCGCGTCCAGCAAGACGAGCAACCCCGTCGCCAAGAGACATTTCGTCCAGTCGGCCAAAGACGTTGCCAACTCGACAGCGAGTCTCGTCAAGGAAATCAAGGCGTTGGACGTCGACTGCTCCGAGGCGAATCGTCAACGCTGCGCTGAAGCAACGAAGCCCCTTCTGGAGGCTGTGGACAGTCTCTGCACATTCGCCAGCTCGCCAGAGTTCGCCAGTCAACCGGCGAGGATATCGGTCGCCGCACGAGCCGCCCAGGAGCCGATCACCAGCGCCGGCAAGTCGATCATCGACGGTCTGTGCGCCATGCTCCAGCTGGCGAAGAGTCTCGCCATAAGTCCAGAGGCACCACCCACCTGGCAGTTGCTGTCCAACCACAGCAAGAACGTGAGTGACTCGATCAAGTCCCTGGTCGCCTCGATTCGCGACAAGGCTCCCGGGCAGAAAGAGTGCGACGCTGCCATTGAGAAACTGTCCATTCGCATCCACGAACTCGACGACGCATCGTTGCGAGCAGTCTCGCAGTCCTTGATCCCACACCGCGAGAACACGATGCAGGGCTTCACCGATCAGATGGAGAGCAGTGCGAGTGAGTTGCGCGAGAAATTGGAGCCATTGCGAAACGCCGCCAAGTACGAGGCGGAAAATGTTGGGCATTCAGTGAACCAGGTTGCCCTCTATTGCGAACCGCTCATTTCCGGGGCTATTGGCGGCGCCTCGAACATGGTGCACACGAAGCAGCAAATGGTGTTGCTGAATCAGACCAAGACCGTCGCTGAGTCTATATTGCAGTTGGTTTACGTCACCAAGGAGTCCGGCGGCAATCCAAAGGCTGTAAATCTCCACGCGGAGGTCGACGAGACTGTCGAGTCGAGCAAAGACGCTTTGCAGGAGCTGCAGAATACTTTGGAAAACATCTCAACGTCAAATGGAATTGTCACTGGATTAATTGACACAATCACGAGAGCCATGGTTCGTTTGGAAGACCACAGAATGTCCATGATCGACACAGTTGATTCGTACGTCGATTACCAGACGAGAATGGTCGAGGCTGCGAAGGAAATTGCACGATTGGCCCAGGAAATGGTGAGTTGTTACTGAATCTGTTGCTGACACATTATTCTTTGTTACCATACATTAAAAATCTCATTTGATTCTTTAATTTCATTTTCAACAGAAACAAACGTCATTAAATAGATGAAACTTATTTAAACTTGATGTGGCGTAACAAATTTTTTATTTTTCTCTTTTAACTAAACAGCTAGTTTGCCAATACATATCCGAATAGGCTGATCCCTCTCAAAATAAATTTCAAGGCATATTGTGGGTGTGATTTCATTCTTGATATTTGGATTTTTATTAAAAGTATTGGAAAAAATTAAATTTTTAAAATTCATAACAAAATTCTGAATTCTTAGTGTCTTTTTTGTCTGCCTCATAAAGTATCAAACTACCACGAATTTTAATACAAAACATTCAAAAAATTTTTCTATTTCTGACCAGAATGAATGTTTTAATGTACGTCTATTATTTAATTATTTCAAAAGTTTTAATGCAATTATCTTGATAAATAACAAGACTCTTCACAAAGATTCAATTATTTTTAGGAATTTTAATAAAATTCTTTGCAAAATTTCAATTATATTTTGAAAAGTTTTTCGCATTTCAATAATTTTCAATATTCACAATTTTCATAAAATTTATCAAAAAATGTAATTATTGAAAAAATTTTTTGATAAAATTCTACGAAAACATTCAATTATTTTCATGAATAATAAAATTTCATTTAGAAATTCAATTATTTTCACGCCAAAATTTAATAGTCCTCGAAAAATTTTATTAAAACTTGACGAAAGAATTCAACAAATTAATTAAAACTAATTGATTGAGTTACAGGGATTAAAAATAGAAGCATAGAGAAGAATTTGAAAATGAATAAGGAGAAAATAATAAATAAAATAAGATAATCATGGAAGAAAAATGAAATGTGTGACTGAAAATATAAAATGAATTTGATAAATTGTAAATTTTCCAAAAGAAATGTATTTTGAATCTATGAGATGTTTGAAAACTCCCACTAGTCCAATGCCAATTTCTTCATAGCTTAACTCATTAACTTATGAAATTCCCTGATTTTATTTATAGTCGACCAAGTCAAGCACGGACGTGGCGAGATTAGGACCACTGGCTGTCGACATTTCACACAAGTACACGCAGTTGGCGCGCGACACTTCGGGAGCATCGGCGGCAGCGTCGAACGCCGACGTGTCAGCCAGGTTGCGGACTGGCGTGCAGGAGCTGGGACGTGCCTGCGCCGACATCGTTCGCGCCGCCGGCAACTGCCAGATGTCGCCGGGCGACTCGTTCTTCCAGCGGGAGGTGTCCGAAGACAGCAAAGTCGTGACGGAGAAGGTGTCGCAGGTGCTCGCGGCACTGCAGGCGGGGTCGCGCGGGACGCAGGCCTGCATCAACGCGGCGAGCACCGTGTCCGGCATCATCGGCGACCTCGACACCACGATCATGTTCGCCACCGCGGGCACGCTGCACGCCGAGAACGAGGGCGACACTTTCGCCGACCACCGGGAGAATATCCTGAAGACTGCCAAGGCCCTAGTCGAGGACACGAAGACTTTGGTCGCGGGGGCCGCATCGTCGCAGGAGCAACTCGCTGTCGCGGCCCAGAATGCCGTCTCGACGATCGTACAGCTGGCCGAGGTCGTCAAGTACGGCGCGGCGAGTCTCGGCAGTCACAACCCCGAGGCTCAGGTGATGCTGATCAATGCCGTGAAGGACGTTGCATCCGCCCTCGGCGACTTGATCCACGCGACGAAGGCCGCCAGTGGAAAGCCAATTAATGACCCCAGCATGGCGCATCTCAAGGATTCTGCAAAGGTACGAATTTCCCTTTCATTTTTTTGCCATTCAAAATTTCCTCCATAACAAATCTCGCTTTATAGAGCTTCACTAATATTTGACTGGATTCCAAAGCTTCTTTATTCGATTACTATATTAATTATTGTAGTGATATAGATTTTCTAATCTAAATTTAATTAAACTGTTCTAATAATTATAATAAAAGAGATGGAAGATACCCAAGAGTGACTAAAACCGTTCCCTAAAAAGCGATTAATACCTTTAAGGAAAAAGGAAAACATCAAATCATTTTACATGACTAGCGTGTAACTAACAGTGATTGATCCTTCGGTTCAACTTTAATGAAAGTTTATCTTAACAGAATGATCCTCTTCTAACTCGAATTTTTTTGGGTGGACTTTAATTGACAATTTAATTTCAATCCGATCGATTGACTAATTTGATAATACTTACTCTTGTCTACACTGCTAACCGATTTTCTAATTTGCCTACTAAAAAGAATAAAGAAATTTTATTTATTATTTATGATCAAATTTTAATTTATAAAAAAGAAAAAAATAATAAATATATATAATAAAACCCCACAAAAGAAAATTACATATATATCGTATTAGTTTTGAATTGGTTAGAAATAAAAAAAAGATATGACAGGTTAGCAAAAGTTGTTCGGAAATGTACCAAAATCGTAAATTTAGCAATATTATTATTAAAGTCCACCTGGAAAACTGTCATTTTTTTGTAAAAGTGACTCTATCATATTTTTTCATAGATAGTTGTAATGTGTGTGACAATTGCACAGTGATCTGAAATTGCAAAAATATTTCGATTCCTTTCTTTTAAATCGTTCGTGTTATCATCAAAATTTGTTTCATTTAAAGAAATTGAAAGATTAAAGAATATTTTTTAAATTTTACTTAATATATTATATTATTTATTAATGTCAAAACTTATTATTTACTAAAAATGACACAAGTCTTTATTTAATTCCTGATTGAAAAGCAGTGGATACAATAAATTTCAGATCACAGTGTCGTAGTAATGTATGTTTAAAAAAAATGCAAAGTAGAGACAGTGGTTGTTGCTTAAATCAGTGTCAAAAACGATCATTTCAATGTGATTTCTATTCAATTGATTTGACAAATGAACATTTAAAATGTTGACACTCTCAGTGTCGATGATTATGATCGTTGAAGGACTCTGAAATCTCGGTTTGGTTTCTGATTTTTGCTCGCATGTTGCTGGCCAATAAGCGTCCAACAAATTGTCGCAAATTTTTTAAGATTTTATTAAATTTTGTTCTCCAACGGTGGGCTTTGATATATTAGTCTGATTGACGATTCTGGTCTCGTCGCTCTTAAATAGGTTTTCGAGCAGCAGCTGCAGCAACAGCTGATAACTCCGAGCAACATCGCCGGCTCTGAATCTGAATGGTTCGTCTCTGATCAAGAGGAGGAACTCGTTAGACTTCTCTCCATCTCCGAGTACAATCAACCCACTCAACGATCTTCCGATCTTCTACTGCTCTTGTAGCAAAAAGAAAAAATATCCTTCATCCACTGCGATCTTTTCGCCTTTATTCCATCTTTTATACAGAATTTAACATTTTTACTCATGAAACAGAGAAAAATGATTTTCCAAAATTTTCTACTAATTCATTATAGACATATTTAAAATTGACTGTGAAAAAAATTGTCATATTTTGTCTTCCATGAAACGAAGGTTGTGCGAGTGTGCCTTTCTTTACGAATAACTGAATTTTACCAAAAAAATATTTTTACATTTCAAAAGTAATTGCCGAACCTAGAGGATAGAGACGCGATTTTTGTATGCCAGTTAACAAAAAATAATACTGAATTCTGGTTTTAACGAGGACTAATTATTTTAGTAATAAATTTTAATTGTATACTCGAACTGTCTTTCTTTAATTAGCGATATTAAAAAATTATTCGGTTAAAAATATTAAAATGATTCTGTCCATTAGTTTTCATTCGCGTTCGTTTATCATTTACTAATTTTTTATGGTAAGAAAATTAATCAATTAGTACTAATTTAGTGACTATACCTATTCTATATAAGAATTAAATCTCAGTGTTAGGTACGTATCGTTTTTATTTTTTACTAACAAAACGGACCTCTAAATCTTTCTCAACTAATAAAAATGCCTGAATTTGCAATTTCTACGTTCCAGGAAACCTTTTTGTAGTTGGTTAATGGTTTTTTATTTTTTTCATCCAAAAAAGTATTTTTCTTCTATTTTCTTCAATTTCAATCATTGACACACGCTTTGCTTGAACTAAAGTTAATTTTCTTGAACTAAAGAAATTTTTAATTATAGAAAATAATTTTTTCTCAATTAATCGTACCCATTTAAACACTAATTTCAGAGGAATCTGATGAATTTTAGCAAACTCTTGACAAATTAACAAAATGCGAATCATAAAAATGACGTCTTTAATTGCCTAATAATTTTACTATAATATTTTGATTTAACAGGTAATGGTGACAAATGTCACGTCTCTCCTGAAAACCGTGAAGGCGGTCGAAGATGAACACACAAGGGGCACTCGTGCTTTGGAATCGACAATCGAGGCAATCGCTCAGGAAATCCGGGCGCTGAGCACACCGGAAAGTCAGAGAACAAACGTGACACCCGAGGATCTTGTTCGTTGCACAAAGAGCATTACAACCTCAACAGCAAAAGCAGTGGCAGCTGGAAACAGTTGCAAACAAGATGACATTATTGCGGCTGCAAATATGGGCCGCAAGGCGATCAGCGACATGCTGACGATATGCAAAAGTGCAGCTTACAATTGTGCAGAGACCGCAGAACTTCGTGATCGTACGTTGCACGCCGGCCACGATGTCGCCATGAATTACCGAGAACTGCTTCAGGCGATTCTCCAAATCTCCTCAAGACCCGGAGACGCAAAACACACTTTGCCGCCGATTTCCAGGAAAATCGCCCAGAGTGTCACGGAATTGGTTGCGGTCGCTGAACTCCTCAAAGGAAGCGATTGGGTTGATCCTGACGATCCAACTGTCATTGCCGAGAACGAACTTTTGGGAGCAGCCGCGAGCATCGATGCGGCTGCAAAGAAATTGGCGAGTCTTCGACCCAGAAGGAGTATTCAGGTGGGTTGATTTCTTTCATTGAGTAACCTAATGCTTATTACATGTAACCATCGAGTGTGCGAAATAACTGCAAGATAGAATCTAACTACTGTGAGATATGTTTGATATTCTTGGTTGTTTTTTAAATAATCGACCAGGAATCAAACATATTATTACGGTGGTTAGACCGTCATCGAAATAAGAGCAGGTAAGAAAGAAATCTGCACAAGTTTCATTTCTCCTTTATATTTATCGTTTCTATTCTCCCCGACTCAACTTCTGAATATCGCTGTTTCACACAGGAGACAAATGAGGACATGAATTTCGATGAGATGATTCTGGAAGCGGCAAAATCAATAGCGGCGGCGACATCGGCATTGATCAAAGCCGCGAGTGCTGCGCAGAGGGAACTAATAGCCACGGGAAAAGTCTCGAGAACGCCGTTAACATCGTCCGACGATGGTCAGTGGTCCGAGGGCTTGATATCAGCGGCGAGACTGGTCGCAGCTGCAACGCACAGCCTCGTTGAATCGGCGAATGCTCTCGTTCAGGGAATCAGTAGCGAGGAGAAGTTGATATCTAGCGCGAAGCAGGTTGCCAGCAGCACTGCTCATCTTCTCGTCGCCTGCAAAGTGAAAGCCGATCCCGACAGCGACAGCACCAAGCGGCTGCAGGCCGCCGGCAACGCCGTGAAACGAGCGACCGACAATCTCGTACGTGCCGCTCAACAGGCCATTCAGCAGGAGGAGGAACGATCTCTGGTCCTCAATCGCAGAATGGTCGGCGGAATCGCGCAGGAGATCAATGCCCGGTCGGAGGTGCTCAGGATCGAGCGAGAACTTGAGGAAGCACGAGGCAAACTCACAGCCATCCGACAGGCCAAGTACAAGAATCGGACGGACACCGACACGGACACCGACGCCGATCAGAGTGGATACGACAGTTATAATAGGTACTTTTCTCAATTTCTTTCTTTTCTTTCTTTCTTTTTGCATCAGCATGAAATCCTTAATAATTACTCAATTTTCCTACAGCAAATATGAAACAAAGTACTATGATTCTCCAAGTAATTATTCCACCCTGCAGTCCATGAACAACACTCTGGATCAAGTTCAATCGAATAGTCAGCTGATAAATCACATAGTCAACGATCGAGAGAATCTTGTTTCTCCCGAAAAGGTCCATTCAACTCAAAGCACTTTAGAAAAGAAGATGAAGGAGTGTAGCTTCCGAAATTCCGAGAACCCTTATGGATCCGTGGATCAAAAATATTCGGACAATCAATACGGATTTGGTGATAAGAGATACATAACTGATAGTGCCTACAGTACAACTGAGAGGAAATATTTCCCCGAGAATTCTCCTTGCCAATACAGTTCCATCGAGAGGAAAATCAATCAAGACACTTCAGCAACCGATCGATACACTCCCACTCACAGTCCCTATAATCAGAGTCCGTTGCCCAAGAGTCCCTTAACGAAGAGTCCTCTGCCAAATCAGAGTTCTTACCAAACCAATCAAAGTTCCATGTTCGCCAATCATTCTTTCAGTCAGAGCTCCCTGCCCACCAGTCACAGTCCGCTTCCTCCGAGTCCTCATTTCCTGAGTCAATCCGATTCCACTTCATATCCAAAATCCCCGACTCACTACACTGCTTACACTCACGGCCAGGAGTTCATCAAGTACACTCCCGATCCGAATAACATTCACAAGTACATGAAGGACGACCAGTACGAAAAGTTCATCGAAGAGGAAAAATTCTCCAACGAGCACAAGTCTTACCAGCAAACAAGTTTCATAGACCAGGGATCTCAGAATTATTTTCCAACTTCCGATAGATTCGCAGCGCCAAGTCCAATGAGTACTTTTAAATCCGACAAAATTTCATCAGACAATTGTTTCGTTACTTCAACCCCGCAAAATCAAAGCTTCAAGAATGTTGAGAGCAAAATCATACCGGGCGGCAGGATCGAGACAATCACCACCAAAGTGTATTCGTCCACACCGAGGCAGAGTGGCAGTTCGAATTTCGAGAGTCTCGAGGAGAAGAATGAGTTTCTCAACTCAGGGAACGAGCTCTCCACTTTCAAGAACATGGACAACGAGACGTTGGAGCAGAAGATGCTGAAGCAATCAATGATTGAGAAAATCACCGAGAAAAAGACAATCACGACGACTACCTCTACTCGTCAGGAATCCAGCTCCAAGAACTTCCGATTTGACGACAAGTAGGTTTAAGTCTTCCTCAAAAATTTATTTAACTTGCGCACAATAGAAACCAATTTTCTATGAATATGTCTTTATGAGAGGATCTTTTCTAGATAATGAAATTCAAATCGATCAACTGTCTATTAAAAATTCTAATATATCTTTTCGTTTTTTATGAGTATTTTTTTGGACGAGAGATTTGTAAAGATTTGTCCATCATTTTTCTTATATGTATGAGCTTTTTTCGAAATTCACGATTCAATTATAGATACAATTAACAAATTTTAAACTCGTGTCATTACTTACGTCCAAGTATTTTATTTTTAATTGTTAATTAATGATAACATCTACGAGTAAAACTTTGGATTTCGTGTTTGCTTTTTAGTCATATCGTTTATTATTATTTTTTTAACAATGTAATTAACGTTAGGATTTTATAAATATATATAGTGTACACTAGTGAATGGAGCCTTAGCCGCGCGGCCTTAGATAATTATTATTCTAATTATAATTACTATTACAGTCTAGTTAAGTGCCCTTAGAAACGAAACGAAACGAAACGAAACAAAACGATTATAGCCTTATAACTATGATTATTAAGAAATTTTCAAAGATAACTCGAAATTAAACTCAATTATAACAATGTCAATATATATTATTACCTTTTAAATTCAAGAGAATTGCAATTTTAGATTTTTATTTTATTTAGACACGAATTTTAAAAAAGTTTCCAGTTTTTATGGTTTTAAACTTGAATTTTATTCTTTTATTTTATTTTAAATAAATGGTTAATTTAAGGCCACGTATTAACAAGAGAAGCAACATATCATTTAATTTTATTAATTTTCCCAATCCGTGAGGAATAATGAAAACCACGGATTTCCCACTAATACTTTCGCTTTCTCAACTAACTTTTTTTTTACTTTGTAGTTTCTTTTACATTCTCTAGGCCTTTTTTCTTTTGCTACATCTATTTATTATAATTATTTCTTCTTTCTTTGTCAATGAGACTTATTTATCTTTTGTGAAGAATTAAAAATAAAGTGCAATCATATAGGCATTTTACAATTTTAACGAATTGATGTGACTAGAGTGTAAAAACTAATTCATGAATTCTATTCTAGTTTTAGGAAACTTTTTTCTTCCTTTTTTTAATCGAGAAAAGTTTTATGAATCGTTTTAAAAAGAAACACCAAAAATTTAATGCTTTACTAATGAAATGACTAAAAAAAAACGCTTTTGAAAAGTATATTTTGATTATGTAAAAAAGGAAAATTCCAAAAAATACTATAAATAATGGAAATAAGCGTGCCATGGTCGTTGAAAATTTATTTTAAAATAACTGATATATATATATAAAATTCATATTCTACAATTTATATTATTATTATTATATTATTATTTTATTATTATATTGTATTTTTGAAAGAAAATTATACTGTTAACGCGTAACAAGTGAATGTGATTGTGTTTATAATAATATTGTAATTTGTAACAAGTCTTTTTGACAATCTGACGATTTTTTGATCGTTTTTCATTTTCGTAACCGGAAAAAGAGGAGAGTAGTTACGAAATCTATTGTGCTGCCGTCTTTATTACTATTATTATTATTATTAATTTTATTACCATCTTTGTAATAATGGCGTTCTTCTTTATACAAGGAGGAAAAAAATTGTACATTTTAAAATTAATAAAGTATTTCTAACAATTTATGATGACGTTTCCCACTTATATTAGCTGTACAATATGTTAATATTAAAAATTTATTAAAAATTTATTAATTATAAAGGACATTACATTTTGTTAAATCGACAAACGTATATACCATTCAATGTTTAAATATTAATAATTTAAGAACTTTGAGAAAAATTTTTAAAAGATTACAAATTTAGTGAAATTATAAAGAATCCTTTTTTTCTTAAAATAGATTTATCAGCGCTGGAAAAAGTAACACTTGTTTAAATAGTAAGTTACTTAAAAATTTTATTTGAAAACTGTTGATATAAAATTGTGAGTTCATTGACTTGCTTCGTTAGGCGAAGTTCTGTGCCTCAAAGATTTTTCAATGAATCTTGGCAATTCGAAAGCTGCTCGATGCACTGCTTTGGTATAATATCGCATCCCCAAAGTCTCTAATTCCTCATCTGTGAATATTTTTTCTGGTTTTTTGAAAACTGTTTGCTGAAAAAGAAGGTTTTTTATTTGATAAATTAATATTAAATATTTTAAAAAATTTGCACATTTCATTTAATCTCACTGGGTTTAAGCTCCCCAAAATAAATCCAATTTGCCCAGTGGGGTATGTTGGAACTGAAGCGATTCCGTATGAGCAGACAGGAAATGTGGATTGGCAAAGTCTAAAAGTGCGTTGAACAAACTCTAAATTGGCCCATGCCGTTCCTGCTTGACTGCAAATTATTCCATTTGGTTTCAAAGCCGATTTCATGAGATTGAAGTAAGAACCTTGAAAGAGACTTTCGGCTGGACCTGATTATATAGAGAATGTTGGTGATAAAATTTAGTGTAAATTCCGTAACTCAATTAATGAGATGTACTCACCAACAGGATCGGAACTGTCGGTGATAATGACGTCGAATTCATTTTTGTGCTGCTTCATAAACTCAAAACCATCTCCGACGTGTAGAGTGAGTTTCGGGTGCTCGAGACCTTTTCCCATAAATGGCAAATATTCCTTCGATACTGCTATCACCACATCGTCAATTTCCACTTGGGTGATATTTGTAACTTCCGGATGCTTTGCAACTTCGCGAGCCACGCCGCCATCGCCACCGCCAATTATTAAAACCTTGTCAAAATAATAGAGAATAAACTATTTGATCTTTAAATAAATGCATCGTCTTCAAAGTTCATTAGTATTTATGAAGATGTAAAGAAGTTAGTTTTAAAAGTGTTTAATGTCTTTTTACGATGATTGTTATCGAATCTCTTACATTCTTTGGATTTGGATGACTGCAAAGAGGCAAAAATGCTATCATTTCTTGATACGAGAATTCATCTTTCTCGACGCATTGAATAATTCCATCTAAAATTAGTGCTCTGCCATGCTCTTTTCTGAAGACATTACAAAAATTACGAAATTTTTCTCAGTTGGAAGACTTTCACATTTGTGCAATGCAACAAAAAATCAAATTAGATAGGTATACTTACGTGTCGATAACTAAAACGTCTTGATAATTAGATCTTTGTTGATGAAGAATTTGTTTGACTTCCAGTGAGAGAGAAATTCCCGGCCAAAGTTGATTCATTTCACTGAACCATCCTTGTTTCATTAAGTTCATTATCACTTGCTCTATTATAGTGCGATCAACGACTAAAATTAGAAAATAACATAGAAATTAAATTAGATTGAAATTTTTTATATTATTTATTAATAATTCAATGCTAATCATTAAAAAAATTTTCCATTAAATTTTTACAGATGCTATTCTTATCATTTTAAGTGGTAATCATAATTTTTCTTAGAAGTGAAGACATTTTTTATTTTTGCTTACCTTTGAATTTAATAATCGAGAGTGTTTAGTTTACTAAGCAACAATTTATAAAGATGTTTACTATTCTCTTATGTATATAAATTTAAGGCAAACACGTGAAATATTAAAAATTTGTGCGGTTTTATCTTTTCCGGGATGTTGACTCCGAAAAAACAGACTTTCATCCATTATTCATTAAAACGAAAACAGTTTCCACAGAATCATTTTATCCATACATTGTAATAATTAAGTTTTTCCTATCTTACATAAATTTATTTGTTCATTCTATATTTATTATTATTAAAAGTCTTTAAAAATTTGAATTTTGAGTTCAAGAAATATAAACAATCGTTTTTTTAAATCATTGATGTTTTTTTAATTATCTTTATAAAAGGACGTCCTTATAAATAGATGCTATATATTATTTATTATTTTAATCTCATTAATGTAAAAACCAAAAAGAATTAATTATATTCTTTATTGAAATGAATAAAAACTAAAAAAAAGTTATATAAATATTTATAATGGTTAAGAATCAATTAATAATATAATTATTTTTATTAATTCAAATGAATCTGTGATAATTTTTGTAGAATTATATTTAAGAAAACTCTGATAATACTCTGATTGAATTCTCAATAATGAAATGCGTTTGATAAAATATACATACGTCACATACCGATGAAACTGGTTTTCGAACGACACAATATCAGGAAACAAATGTAAGTAAAAACGTTCGAAATGGTAGTTTAAACAGAACTGATGAATAGATGAAATTTTTATTTTTCACTTTGGGTGGGAGAACTTTGTAGATAGTGATGACGTTTGAGATGATAAATATTATATATATATTAATTACAGTAATATTTTTACCAATTCGTCTTGTACTTGAGGCCAACATCTTAATATTGCCTGCTTCACGGGTAGCAACAATTGCGAATAATTAATAAATGTACCAGAATACAATTAAATTATGTTTCATGATTTACGTTTTTAGATTCATTCATAATTTAATCTAGTATAATGATTTCATTCCCGCCGGCAAGCTACCAAAATAATTATATCCTTTTGTTGACCCAGCTTTAAATTCATAAATCGATTCATAAGTCGAGGCACTACTTATATTTCAATTAACATTTTAAAATATTATGTATTCTATTTTATTCTTCAAATAGATAATAGAATACAAAATCAAAACTATTTGTTAAAAAACAAAAAATAAAAATTTTTTTAAACCGTTTCGCGGTTTAATTTGAAAATTCAAGATAAATGCGCGCGACACTGCCGCATGCGCAGTGCAGTCGACTGACAGGCACAGACAGGCAGGTGAACCTTTTTCCGTCTTGCATTGAGACCATTCTCTAATCATTGTTCGTCAGTTTATTTAAGAGAAACTATTATTTTCTCAAATAGCGAGTAAAAATGATTGTTTAAAGTATCTATCAATTAATTTTATCAGTGTTGTTCTCACTGCGCTGTTATTTTCATCAAAATTTGTCGAAAATGGCAATGCTTGCCGAACCACGACGAAAACAAAGATGGACGTTGAATCCACGAGGGAAACAATGGAGCGAAGGTAAAGTATTTTCGTAATTTTTTCACTGTATTGTTATTGTTACAAATTTAATTTTTATTATTGTCATGCATTTATTATCTATGTATTATCATAAAGGTAAATTTAAACTTTATAGTATGAACACAGTTTCTACTAGTTTATGTATTCTAAATAGGTTATGTTAATGGATCATGAAATTATTTTAATCTCATAATATTCTTTTTATGTACTTGATATACTTGAAGATTCCAACAAATTCGGACAGAAAATGTTGGAAAAAATGGGCTGGTCAAGCGGAAAAGGCCTTGGGGCTCAGGAACAAGGAATGACTGAACATGTCCGAGTGAAATTTAAAGATGATCAAGGAGGTAAGAAGAATTGCCATTTTCTAATCTAAAGAATTCTTTTATTAAAAAAACAGTCCTTAATCATCTTGCATCGATAAAATTCCCAATTAAAATTTACAGAATTATTTTATAGATTTGTAAGATTTATACTTTTCATATTTCACTAATAGAAAATAGAGAAAATTTTCCAATTTTTGTTTATTATAACATTTTCTCCTTAAATTTAAATTCATAAAGATAACTTGAAGATTTTTTTATTTCTCCTAATCTTTATTCTTCATTTTTGAAGGTATTGGCTTTAATAGAAACGACCAAGACAAACAGTGGACACAACATCAAGACAGTTTTAATGACTTGTTAATGAGTCTTCAAAAGAATCAAAATATGGAACAAACAGAAGTGATGGAAAATAAGGAAATATCATTAAGTGGAACGTCTTTGGAGGAAAAATCGAAGCAAAGCAAGGCTCGAGTGCAGTAAGAATATAAAAAATATCAGAATTAAATTTTAGTATTAGATTTAGTAACAATTATCTTATTGTTGTATTTTTTCTTTTCCAGTTACCAGAAATTTACTAGGGGAAAAGATGTAAATAAATATAGTTCAAAAGATTTGGCTAATATATTTGGAAAACGAACTCTCGATGAAGAGGTAAAATGTGAGGAGGAGGAGGAGGAGGTGGAAGAAGATTTTCACGCTGAGCCTGTCGGTACTGAAGATAATACTGCCGGTGTGCTCACCATAAAAGGTGGAAACAGTTCTGAATACTTTAAAAATAAAATGTCATTAATAAGAGATAATTTTGACAATAACACGGAAAAACGAGACGACAGCGACAGTGAAAGAGAACGGTATGTGGGTTTTGGTTTTAATAATATAAAAACTGATCAATGTGGCAATCATTCTCAAAGCGTACAAACTCCAATGAATTACGCTTTTGAGAATCCTTGTCTAGATTTAAATTTATCGCCTCCAGTCAAGCTCTCAAAAAAGCGCAAAAGTTGCGGATTTGATAATGAGGGCTTAGACTTCAAATATCCTGAAAAAAATGAAATACCAAAAAAATCTTTATTCGATTGCAAAATTTCCGAAACACCCGATTGTTTCGTGAATCCTGCCTTAAATTTAGAAGTTCCCGAGAGCACGACTTGTAATGGTGCCGATTTCGAAGTAATAAGACACGAGAATCAAGAATCGTTGGAGGTTTGTCGAAAAAAGAAAAAGAAAAGGAAGAAGCAAAAGAACATGGAAATAATTGACACGGCTTTTGATAATTGTGCCTTAAATTTAGAGTTGCCGGATACGAATGAGTACAAGGGAACAGAATTTGAAGTTACACGATGTCAAATGGGTCTCGATAATGATGCGTTAGATTTATCGGATGAGAATTGCACCAAAAAGCGTGTCACTTTTAACGATTGCGTCGAATATAATACCGATGTGATAAAAAAGAAAAAGGGAAAAACGAAACTTGATAAATTCGAAGTACAAACTGATAAAATAAAACGCAAGAAGAAAAGATCGTCATCGTCTGAAGAAGGTGGAATGGTTTTTATAAATGAAGCTCTCAATGTCGAGACAATTAGCCAAGAAGTTCAAGATAACGAATTAAACGAGAGAAAATCTCGAAAGCAGAAAAGAAAGAAAAACAGAAGAATGTCAAATTTAGAAACCATCGAAGAAGCGCCAGAGGAAAATGAGAACGAAGATGCAATTTGCGAAAGAAAGGAAATAAAAAAAGAGAAAGATGTAATTTGCGATCTGGAAATAATAACTCTTAATGACTCGATAGAAAGTATCTCGGCAAATGATGAAATATCAAAGAAAAGCAAGAAAAAGAAAAAAAGGCAAAATAATCCCGATATAATAACAATTGAAAACACAACAGAAGCAGAAGATGAAACAAAGAAGAAGAAGAAGAAGAAGAAGAAAAAGAAGAAACATCAAGAAGACGATAAAGAGAATGAGAATTTGCCTACTGATAAACTTGTTCTAAAAGAAGAAAACAATGAAACTGATTCCCAGGAGAATGAAAAGAGGAAAAAACGAAAACGGAAATCGAGCGAAACTTGTGAATTTTTCTTAGATTTGGTTGACGATACCGTTGGAGTAGAAGAAGTGATTCAAGAAAAAGAAGCCAAAAAGAAAAGAACAAGAGATCAAATAGAGGACCCAACGTCCAAAGAAGAGAAAATTCCAGAAAATTTGACACCTTTAAAAAAGCCGCGATTGACTGATGAAGAGAGTCCATCGCAAATAGTCTCAAAGAAATCGAAAAGTGTTTTTAAATCATTCCTGAAAACTACCGTCAATTTCAAAGGTTCCAATATTAATGACATTAAAGGATACGGAATTGATTGATTGATAAAATTCCATTTTAGGATAAATTAATTAGTGACTGTTTTGATTTCTTTAAATGGAGATACGAAAGTACTTCAAGTTTGATAAGTGAATTTCGTAATGTAGTTTTGTTGCGTGTTTAAACATTTTTTATGTACGATGGTACATATGTACATACGTTTTGATGTGTATTGCACAGATTATTTAATATATACTGTAAAATTACACATTTTTGTAGTGAAAATTAATTTAATGGAAATGAAAAATATACTCTAAACAAATTTTTAAATAATTGAATTCTTTCGACGAATTTTAATAACATTTTTAACAAAAATTACATTTCTGATGGTAATCGATTAAAATTGTATTATAAATAATTGAAATTTTGCAATGGGTTTTATTATTTATGAAAATAATTGAATTATTGCAAAAAATTTCATAAAAAAAGTTTCAAACAATTGATTTTTTTCGAAAAAATTTATGCAAATTCTATTTTTATAAATTAAATTCTTGTGATGAATATTGTTATTTATGAAAGAAATTGAATTTTACAAATAATTTGATTAAAATGCCTCAAAATAATTGGATTTTTGGGAATAATTTGTTATATATAAAGATAATTAAAATGTTGACGGGAATTTAAAAAAAAAAATGAATTTCTGGAATTAATTATAATAATATTTATTAAGATTAGTTGAATTCTTTCAAAGAATTGCGTTAAAATTATTAAAATTGAAATTAAAGTTTTTTCAAAAAATACTTGATTAAATGATTTATAAGTAATAACTTTATGGCAATTCTTCAATAGAATTAAGTTATTTAAAATAAATTTCTGTCAGAAATAGAAAAAATTTAAGGTTTTTTTTTAGAATTCGTGGTAATTTCATAGTTAATAAGCAAACAAAAAAAAAACACAAAAATTCAAAATTTTCTTATAAATTCCAAACATTTAATTTTTTTCAGTAATATTTATAAAAATTCCTGAATTCCCTGTCCTGAGTCAACCCTGTTTTAAAGATTTTCAGACTTTGAATATTTGTCGTTTTTTTTTAACAAGAAGCTGTTTCTTTAGAAGAAATTAGTTTATTTACAACACAAAGTATTATATTACAAGTATCATCTGTGGATATTTAGAAAAGACTCTAGTTTAAAAACATTTCACGCGATATTATCGTAAACTTGAACAAATTCTGGCATTGCTTTTACCCGGTCAATAAGTTTGCTAACATTTTCAACTCCTTCGTCATTAACTTCAACTAATGAATGTGGAATATATTCTTCGACTGCTGAAATAACGTCCAAGTTCTTTTTTAGTAAATTATTTTTTACCACCATTACGTGCGCTGGATTGCAAATAAACTGAAATCATTGAAAAAGAAAATAATTATAATTACATTATAAGACAAAAATGATTTTTTCTTCTCTTCTCTTCTCATTACCTTAATATAGACTTCACCGTCTTGCTCAACCTCCAAAACTTCCTCTGCTCCAATTTCTATTGCGATGTCAGTTGCTTCATCGATATCAACACTTTTTTTTACTAGAATGTGACCCTCAATATTAAATACTGATTTTACTCCGCCATCTGCTAATTTACACCTGTGAACAAACTTTTTATAAATATCTAATCTCTTTCAAATAAGTGAATGCTTTTTAAATTGTAATTGTAGTATTTCATGAATTAACATACATGCATTTCCTGATGTGATTATTAACAAGTGATTTAGTTTCGTGCAATCTTTCTGTTACTAAATGAAATATAAGGAAAGATGAATCTGGACCTAGAACGTTAACCCAAACATTGTGTTCTTTAATTTTTTCACGTTGATATCTTTCGAGAAATGTTGTAATAGTTCCATTCGGTACTTGTTTTCTTTTTGCTTCGTCTATCCAATAAGCTAGTTTTAAATTTTTCTTCGGATTCGCTTCACCATCGGCTGTAAAAGTACAAAGCTGCATTTTTTAATAACCTTACAAATTATTATTATTATTATTATTATATCATGTCTAATTGATTTTAGTTTTGAACATTCTGAGATTTGGAAGTTGAACAAAATAAAAATTCAATTATTTGTCATTTTCGGCGAAACATAATGAAATTATTTTTATAAAATTTTTGTTAAACTCTTTGAGTTTGAATGTAGAGTTCACAAATGAAATAAACAATGTAATTAAGTTTTAAAAATGTTTTAAAAACCTGCTATTGCTGCTCTCATTTGCCTCAAGTATCTCATTATCATTGCGGATTTCTCACTGTCCATTTTAGATTTTGTATGTTTAATATTTTGCCATTTACTGTGACCCTTTAATCTTATAAATTCTTTAAAAGGAGAAATATTCGTCGACCTGAATATAGGTTTTAGTATTTTATTCATTTTAAATTAATCAAAATTGCGTTAAAAAACTTTTAAGAATCCAGTACAAATAGAGATGAATTTAAGGTTATGTTTAACTTTTAATTTTGTTACCCTGTGAGCAGAACCTATAGAAATACTTTGGTCTTTAGCGTTTAGCGCTAAAAACCATGCTCGCAATCGCATGCTGTGTGTAAGTTTTTGACTATTGATAAGAATGTTTCCTCATTAATCGATTTTAATATAAAGTTCATCAAAATTAGTTTAGATGGAGATATTAGTGAAATGTTGAAATTATTCTTATTTATGAACTAAGAGTAGATAATAAAAATATATTTTTACTTAACATTAATGAATTTAAATTTAAATAAAACATTTTAAAATGTAACATGGTTATATTTTCGATTAGAAGTTTCATTAATATTGCGATTATAATTAAAAACATTTTTTCCAGGTTCAGATGGATACCGCACTCCGCATTCGCACTTGGCAGAGGATTTATTCGATATCAATTTGCTGAATATTTTATACCAATAGGATGAAGCAAATAGAAGTGGAGGTCGTTTTTATTCCCAGGTAAGTCGCTGTGATAATCTTTATTTATTTAATTAATTTATATTTATGGTTCAGTACTAAGGCGTATGATAAAATAGTTATGAAAAAAATTGACGCATAAAATAGAAATTGTTTAGATAGGAACACCTGAAAACGGCAAGATTTTTGTTTTGTGGCTTGTGGTACATCCACAGTTTACTTTACGGCTTTTGGCCTCCGTCACCGATGTGCGATGTACAATACAAACTGGCAACCAAGTGAATGCACTGCATGTTGGTTTCTATACCATATGCACACCACAAATTTTAATATATTTTGTTTACCTGAGCACAACTAAAAATCAGATTCTTTTGATATTGCAAAACTTTGAATTAAAAACTCTCCCCAATTTCAACGTAACATTACTGTCATATTAAAATGCACCGGTATATAACATTACTGTAATATATAAAGTAAATAAAAATTGCAATAATTATACATAATGATTCAAGAAGAGAAGTTTTCCTTTTTTCATCATTAAATTTAGTGTTATTGTAACATTAAGACGTAATATTACAGTAATATTACGTGCGTCCCGGAAATTTACTAAAAATCTCCCGATAGTTGAGAAGATTAAATCTTAATCTGACAGAAGAATGCTGTCACTCTTTTGAAACTTATTTAAAATAGCTTTACGAAGCAAGACTAGAATCTGCTTTATATTAGAAATTTCCTTTGTTCGTGTAAAGTTCTCTTTCGTGAATTCGTGAAACAGTTTAATAAATATTGAGGGAATTCTTGCTTGTGTACATATCATGCAAATTTTGTTATTTGTCTTTTTAGAATAATTTTATTCTTATTTTATTCGAAGAGGAATTTAGAACTTAATATTTATGAAGCTATGAAACTGCCGCTGTCCTGCTTTTAATTTTTCCTTAAATGTCCATTTTTTTAAGAAGACGTTTTCTACTGCTGGATGATTTTTGAGAAAAATGCGCGTTATTTGCAACAACATTCTTTCTTATATTCGAAAACTATGGTGTTATCGGTTCGTACTTTTTTTTGTCAGATGTTTCGTACTTTACATTCGTGCGAAGTATTCAGCTTGAGAAGAACGAGATATTAATTGTGCCTCGAGCAGTAACTAAATCCCCGGGAATTTTTACGGCTCATCGGTATAAATCAATTTTGCCGTCGACAACCCTCTCTTGAACCGGAAAGCAGCAACAGTTGCATAGTAATGGCAGAGTTTGGGGGGGGGGGCTCCTGTCGGAACATAAATTATCTTCTCTCTCTGTCTTTCGCTCCCTCTCTCGTTCCACCCCTTTTCAACCCAACCCCCTCTTTATATTCCCATCCTAATCCAACCTATCTACTCAGTTTCAAAATAGAATTTGTAATCCAAATTCAACTATTTTGTCTGATTTATTTACTGTCCTGGCCAATGCAATTGCATTCGCAGCCAAGTAAAGACTCTTCCGAGTGTGCACAAGACGTATTTCTAATTTAAAGTGACAAAACACTTTAATGTTTTTAAGCAATTCCAGCTTTTTTCGCAGTCTTTTCAAAAATACGTTTATCTCTTAATAAAAGGGAAATGTAGGTAGTAGTATTTTTAGAAATATAATTTTCGAGGGGGTATCTACTTGTGTATTAGCTGGAACGCTCCTCCCGTAATAGTCACGTAATAGAGTGTAGTAGAGCATTATTACGTCAGTGTAATACCACATAATATAGAGGTAATATTCTGTAATAATCAGTAATAGTCTGTAATAGTTGTGTAATACCCTATAATACTAGATAATACGCGTAATAGCAGGAAAATTCAGTGTATTAGAGTGTACACCATTTTAACCAGTAATTACCCCCTCGATAATTTTTATTTTATAATATAATTTTACATAAATATTTCAAAATTAATTCAATTTTAAAAGAGTTGCGTTTACAATTTTCATAAGTAGATAAACTTTAAAAGATTTTGATTTGAAATTTTGTAAAATTTCAATTTTAAATGAATTTAATAAGAAATTTTAAAAAACCTAGATTTTTAAAAAACTTTAATAACTAAAATTCTTCTGAAATTAGTTAATTTTTTTAATATATATTTAATTAACTAATAAAAATAATGTATTTATGGAAGAATTTTAATTAAAAACAATAAAAGAAATTGAATTTTAGAGGAGTTTGTTACAAATTATTGCAGAAAATTAATTATTTTCAAAAAAAGTAAAATTCTTCCCAGGAATTAAATTATTTTCAAAAGTAATATAATTCTTCGCAGAAATTCAATTATGTTAAAAAATTTGCAAAAATTCTTGTCAAAATTTCAAATATCTTTATAAATAATAAAATTTTTCTCCAATTCAATTATTTCCAAAACTTTTAATATAATCTTTGGCAGAATTTCAATTATTTTTAATGCAATTTTCTTTAAATTTCTCGAAAAATGAAATTATTCTTAAAAATTTTATTAAAATCTGTCAGGGGATTTGAATTAATTAAAAATTTGTAAATTTGTAAATTTTTATTTTTGTATTTAAATAATTAAATTCTCGTATAATTTTCTAATAAATATTTATTTTAAAATGAATTTCAGTTAACATTTTAAATTATAATTGAATATTGAAAGCATTATATAGCGTAGATTTTTAGAAATAATTGAATTTCCAAAATCTTTGAGAATTTGAACTTTTCATACTTTTAATTAAGAATTTTGCTGGAATTTTTTTTAATTGTTTGAAATTTGTAATTTCTAATAAATTTAATTGAAGAATGTCAGAATAATCAAAATTTCGTAAAATTAAATTGTAAAGAAAATGATTTGAAAATTCTCAAAGAACTTTTTCAAAAATTATTAAGAAAAATTGACTTGAAGAAGAATTTTAGTTGAAAATTTGAGAAATAAATAATCGAAATAATGAAAATAATTTTTGAAGATCTTACAGTAAAAAAGTAGCAAGATTTAATTATTTTAAAACATGAAGAAAGCGAGTGATCGCTTAATAATAATATTCTCAAAATAATATGTTATTGCATTTAAATTTTTTGAAAATCTGGAAAAGTCAGGGAATTTGAAAAGAGCAAAAGCGCGTGGCAACGCTGAAACTAAATTGAAATTGAATGATGTTATTCATTTCTCTAATTAACACAAATGGTGTTTTTTGCTTCTAGTAAGTTTAAATTTCAATATTAGAAGGAAACTGAGTAGCATCTCTTAAATGAAGGAACGAAATAAAAGAATATTAGCGTTAAAAGAAAAGCTTTTCTTTCAAAAGGTCCTAGAAGTAGAAGAGAGCGGGAGAACTAACCGCTTTAAGTGTTCAGAATCGACTTTACCGAACCAGCATATAGTTGAAAGTGGGGTGTTATCGGTTACTCCTTTTTGTTTCAGTTGAATAAGCACAATTCGTTCTGAAAAGAGAAGGGTTCTCAGTTTTATTTGATAAGACTTTCTTTTCTCTTTGCACTTCCCTATTTCATTTCGCAACTCCAAAGTGCAGTTATCGACCTCTCTAAAAAAATTCCTTCTTCATTCTTTATTTTAAAGAAATTTTATTTTTCTCTATAATTCAATTATCTGTTTTTTGAATTGTTATATACTTATTACATAATTTATAAAAAATCATTTTAGAAAAATTAATAAAATTTATTTAATGTATAAAAATTAAAGTTTATATGTAGAAGCTATTTATTTTGTGATATATGAACAATTTTTTTTCAATTCTAATAATTGATTCGATAGCTCAAAAATTCCAAGTTCGAAGAAATGAAGTGTAGATTCCTATCAAGTTTGTGGTGTCAGTTGGTAGTTTAATTATTTAAAAAATTTGCTGGTCATCTGGGCACCAAAGGTACTTTTTAACCAACTTTTGTTATGAGAATGATTATAATTATATAAAAGACGGATTGTATTGTATTGGTGCTCAATTTTACGATGGTAAACGTGCGCTGGAAATAGACGGGGGTTGTGTGCTAGGGGTGCATGTCCGGCGCCGACGACGACGCCGTCTGGACGCCTATCATTGAACAGCGTCGTATACTTTGCGTCTCTGTCTAAACACGCCAAATCAAAATAACTTGCGTCCAAGAGATACGATTCTTGAAAAGAAATTCTCCAAAGGTACATAAAAGTTTCTTCAATTTTTTAAGACACGAATGTACCCAATGGGAAAGTTACAACTGGCGTAGTACTGCGCCAGCACTGGCATGGCACTGGACCAGTGCTGGCTGAGAATATTGCCGCAATAAATGCCGTATTGTTATTAATTAGTCGTAAATTCATAATTATAAATAATTTAACAACAAAATGGTAAATAATATTAATAAATAGTTATTATTCATAAAATATTTCTCTTCTTGAAGAAATTGTATTAAAGATGGAGACTAACAATATGGATATAGTAAATGAAGTAGAAAAAAATTGTTTATAACATTTAAAAATTAAATACTGAAAAGTAAAATATTAATTTTTTCAATAAATTTATATTTATAAACATTCATAAACTGTTTTTATAATTTTTTTCAAGTTTATGTCAAAAAAGCAATGTTGGCAAAGAGCGTTGTGAACAATTTTTCTAT